GAGAAAGGGGAGCCGGCGGCGTGTTTTCTCAGAGGGGGTGTGAGCGGGAGCCGCCGGTCTCGCCTCTAGGTCTCCCGGCCGGAGAAGGGGTTCTGGGAAAGTGAGTCGATGCCTTGTGCCTCACTGGGAGAAAAACGCATGTTAATAGGCAGAACAAGCCATTTCCGGGTAATTTCTTCTTAACCCTTGGCACTTGCCTTTGCTCATCCTGCTTGATGCTTTGTAACCAGCGGTTGGCCGAAGTTGTGTAGGGACCCGGCCCTCCCGGTGTTCCCCCTCTCCCCCGCAGTATGGGATGTGGACTGGAGCAGGCAGGTGGAGTGGCCCAGGTACCACCGGACCCTGCCTGACTTGAGGCTTCGGTGGTGGTAGCTGCGGGCGGTAGAGTGTGTGAGGGAGGGGGAGTCCCCCCCGCCCCCCTCCCCCCTCCCCCCGAAGCCAGATTGAGGTAACATTTTCCCGATTTAAACTAGTCACACTGGGCTGCCCTCGCTCTGGGCTGTGCGGGGTGTGTGGGAAGAAAACTCTGCTTGACAGCATTGGCAAAGCCCACCAGTCTCTGATAGACTTTATTTCCCAGTCTCACCCTGGCTCCGTAATCCCTGTAAGTCCTTTGGACAACTCTTAGGACTTGAGGTTCTGAGAGGAAGCCTAGGGAGGGGGCTTCTCTCCCTCTCTAACTGATAAGCAGGAAGATTGAGGCACCTGGCTTTGGAAAGAACTGGTGGTTTTCCTGCCTGGGACTGAGGCTGTCCTGGGGTTTGTATATTTCTTGCATTCATTCTAGCTAGTAGCTCAGGACCGCCCTGAACTGGATCTTGAGAGAGGAGGAGGCTGTATGTGACAGCCAGACGGGGGCATTCCAGGGAGAGGGAGGAATGTGGGCAAAAGGAGGCAAGTAAGGATGTGGATAATTCCACTGAGTTCCTCAGGGTTGCAGTCCAGGAGGGATCAGGTGGTCGAGGGAGTGTGTGGGTCAAAGGGTCAGCCTGCCTTTGGGACGGGGAATGCTGGAGAGTTTCAGGCTCATCTGGGAGCATCAGGGAACATTTGGAGTGTGGCTGCGGTCTCCTGCCCTGGGAGCATCCTGGGATCAGAGAGATGAGTTAGGAAGCTGTTGCCTCTCATGCCAGGCAGGTGCCAGGAGCAGAAGCTGGGGCTGTCTTCTGAGGAGGAAGACTTTCCACTGCTCTCCCCAGGGGATGCTGTTCATTTTCCTGTCGCCACACACTGCAGAACTTGGGCAGGCTGAGTTCTCTGGGCCTCCACAGCTACTCCCGAATTTTTGTGTGAAGCTGAGGAGGCCAGACCCAGGCAGGTAATGGCAGAAGTGAAGGGGCACACAAGACCATAGTCGGCCATGGGTCATCCTCTCTAAAGGGAGCTGGTTGTCATTTCCACCCTCTGAAGCCATGTGGGAGGGGGAGGTGAGCAATGATAGATCTGGATTTTTCAAGAGAAGCCAGATTGAGGTAACATTTTCCCGATTTAAAAAAATGTGGGCCACTATTTGCTTGAACTGCTGATATGCTGAAATTTTACTGCTATTTGACCTTTTGGAACTATAAAAGTGGCAATTTCATACAATGTCACCTGAACAGTACCCAATTTTGCACAGGAAGTCTGCAGGTAGCCTGAGCTCAAGTGATCTCTGACGAACCTCATCCTCTTCCTCTCTGTGCCATCCCTTCCTCTGCTTGGCCCCGACACCAGCTGACCTCCTGGTCCCTCTGCCATTCATTGATGTTTTGAAACTTTCCCATCTCTCCTCACCAAGTTCCCCAGTCATTAGCCCGCCAACAGCCTCAGGAACCTCTTTAACTTTGGTGACCTCTCTGCCTTCTCTTCAGCCACTCACTCCCAGAGCCACGCCCTGTTCTTGCTGCCCTTCAAGAGTCTTCTGTTCTGACTGCAGCTTGTGTCTCACCAAGACCTCCGATTCTTCTAGTTGCCGTCTGCCCTGCAGAACCTTGACTCCAAGTCAATGCCGAAACCCCCTTTTCTGCTTTATGCCAGGGGCGGGAGGGCAGAGCGCTGGTCCCTAGTCTTCTTGGCGCCATGTGTCACCCTAAGCCTCGGTCAGTGCCCTCTTTCATTCCCTTTTCCTCTCTCCTCCGGCCCTGCCCTTACTCCTTCGCTGAGAAAATTGAGGTCAGGAGTCGCTGTCTTCCCTAGTGGCTTCCTGTTCCTGCAGGCTCTCGAGTCCACGTCAAGATCTGAGGACAAGGGTCCTTCCATCTCCAACTCTACTTTCTCCATCCAGCTTCAGCTTTCCTCTTTCTACTGGCCCGTTTCCTTCAGTTATAAATATGGATGAGGGTCTTTCATTGAAAACAAAAACCCCAACGGCCCTTTCATCTTCTCATCCCAGTGTCTAGTTGGCATCATCTTTACTTATCTGCCTCTGATCTCCCCTCAGCCATCTGCTGTCTCCTCTCACTGGGCTGCCCCAGCTCTTGCTCAAGACCCTAGCAACTCCCCAGCCCCAGCCCCAGCGGGTGTCCGCCAGGCCTTATTGGTCTGGATCCCAATGCTATATTTCACAGGTGGAGTTGACTCTCCTTGAATTCTGCTCCCTGAATTTCCAAGGTACTTAATGCTCCTAATTCTCCTTTTTTAGTGTATTTTTTAAAAAAGTGGTACAAGCACATATTTAAGAAGACATCAAACAACCAAAACCCAACGATGCAAGTTCATAGCCCATTCTCTTCCTGTCCTTCCCACAGGCAGCCAACTTCTGTTCTTTTCACCATGTAGTCCGGTAACTTAGAGAAGTGACACGGTCAGGTTTTCAAAGTAGATGGACAAGAGCGAGGGCGTGAGAGTGGATCATTTTCACTTAGAAAGATAAGTTTGGCTGCAATTTGGGGCCTGGGTTTTTGGGGGTCAGGCTGGGACACAACGAGGAGGCTGTTGAAATAACTATTGGGAGGCGAATTGATAATGTTGAGTCAGGCCAGTGGGAATGGTGGGGGTGGGGGCAGTGAAGTTAAGGTTCGGGAACATAGCAGCCGAGATTTGGAGTTGGAGGTGAGGGAGAGGGTAGACCTGGATATTCTCGGAAACCTGGCTCTGCAGACGTGCCATTTCCTGAGTAGAAGCCCAGAGGCAAGAACATTTGTGTGGGGACCCTGGACTTCTGTTCTGGACGTAGAGTGGTTGGAGGGCCATCTGGGAGGTGGAGCAGTGACTCAGGAGAGAGGTCCAGGTTGGGGCGGAGCCTTCAGCAGCAGGGAGCAGTTAAGAGGGGATGGGACTGACCAGGGAGACCTGCAGACATGGTGTGTTTAGCTTCTGCATTTTCAAAACATTTGTTAGCAATTAATTTCAGTGTGGAAAGATTTCACATACAAACCTAGATCTATATCTAGCTTTCCTTGAAAAATTAGAATCTTTAGCAGTGCTGGGCCTGCATTCTCAGCCAGTAGCCGTTCGTGGAGCCGAGGCATGGCTGCGACTTTGGTGGCCACGGCTCTCTTCTGCATTCACTTGGGTCCCCACCAGCCACCTTTACATTCCTGCCTGGGTTTGAGGGAAAATGAACCAGCCCTCCTTGCCCGTGGGAGACTAGGTCTGGATGACCCAGGACAGAATAGGGGAATCCCCACCAGAGCTGGGATGGGAGAAGAACCAGAAAGCCAGGTGCAGGTCATAGCCTGGAAACCCAAGAGAAGTCCTCCCCGCCTCTAGCAGGATCAGAACAGGAAGTCCATGGATTCGTAGTTAGGAAATGGTCGAATGTGGACTAAGCTTGCTTTCTGGATCGAGGGAAAGGGGGAAATGGGAGGCCTGATGGGGAGGGAGGGGTTTTTTAAGGTTGAGGAGACTTGACCATGGTTAAATGTTAAGAGAGACCTGGTAGAAAGCAACAGAGAGAGTGAGTGCAGCGTATCCTAGAGCAGCCAGACGATTTCGGGTCCAGAGGGCTGGTGGAGTGCATCTTTATGCCCTTTGGGGCCTGGGACACCCTGGGTAACTCAGAATGGGACTTCTGATGCCTGGGCTGGCCACCTATGGGCTGCATCTCCAGGAGGGATGGACAGGGAGTCCCCTAGGGCTAGTGCTAGGCTTTGCCTTGGCATTGCTGGTCACCCCCTCCTTAACACCCCTCCCCTTCCTACTGGGCACCCCACCCTGTGCTGCCAGGGGTGGTCCAGATTCCACCCAGTAATGCCAGATGCCTGCATAGTAACTTCCTTCCCTTATTTCTTAAGACCTTTGCTCAAATATCACATGGTTACTAGTGCCTTCTCAGACCACCCTATTTAAAAATCGCACACTCAGACATATTTTCAGTCAGCCTTATTTTTCTCCGTAGTACTTGCTTCCTCCTGAGATATTATTTACCTGTTGTTGTCTGTCTCCCTCCATTGGCATACAGGCTCCTCAAGGGCAGGGACTTGACCGGTGCATTGCAGAATCTCTGGCACCTGCATGTGCGGGGCATGTGGCAGGCCATCACTGTCAGTGGGCTCACTGAACAAGAGAGCACATGAACCTAATGGTCAGTGAGGGTCAGTGACTCTGCCCTGGCCGTGCCTGCGGGTCTTCATTCTTTTTGGTTCATAGACAGAAGGAAGGATTTTCCCTTAATCCAAGAGCAGGTCCTGGGCAAAGGGGCTCAGAATGACTTTCTAGGTATAAACATGTTATAGTGATTTCGATGGTGAGGATGGCATCAGTTAGCTCCGTGCCAGATGCTCTGCTAAACAACAACAGCAACAAACCCTAAGTAGTGGATACCCTTATTGTCCACGTATTAGCCATTAGTAACCATGTGATGAAGGGCTAGGGAAGTTCAGGTGGGTGGGCAGCACTGGGACTGGGAGATGGATTATGTCCATTCAACCCCACAGTTATGGAGCTAACCACTGTTCTCTCCTGCCTCTCCTCCCACAGGCATTTGCATCAAGTGTGGGCTTGGCATCTATGGAGCAAGGCAAGCGTGCCAGGCAATGGGGAGCCTGTATCACACCGACTGTTTCACCTGTGACTCCTGTGGTACGTAACCTCTTCCTGGTACCTCTTGCACCAAGGACCCCCTTGCATCTATGTCCCAGGTTGGCGGACCACCCAGCTCTGGCCCAGGCATGAGTGCGGAGGAGGCTAAGTTGTGGCCCCTTTCTCTCTGGGCCTGACCTGCTCAAGTGGCCCAGGCCCCTGGGAAGATCTGCTGGGCCCTGGGCAGGGAGGCGTGGAGCCAGGAGGGAGCTTTTTGCTGGCCATAGGGAGAGGTTGCCCCGCTGGCCCTCAGCTCTGGAGCCTCTGTCCTGTGCAGGGTGCGATGTCTCCTGGCTGCCTGGGGTGCTGTGCCTTCTGCCTGCCTGGACATGGGGCTCATATTTCTTTTCCCTGCAATTTATTTTTTGTCCTAATTTTATACACAGTTTAAACTATAAATGTTATAAGTGAGCCTAGACTAAGTTATAAAAAGAAAAAAGTAAATATAATCCAACCAACCTAATAAATCTGCACTCTTGATTTTCCTACTGTCCTTTCAGGCTTTGCCCTAAAGAAAACATCTTTCATTTATTACACTAAACATTTTAATATTTTGTTTTATGAAGGTATAATACATGCACAGTATTAAGTCAAATCATTCTAAGAAGCTGTTTTTGCAACAGCAGAAAAACATTTATCTTTCTGGTACTGGTCCCATTCCCCAGAGGCAAACCGCAGAGTATTTTTTAGCAATTTCTTCTAGAAGACACTTCCATGTCTTAACAAGCATATACTACTGTTTTTCTCTTTTTTTAAAAAAAAATTCTATTAAAATATAATTGGCATACAATATTAGTTTCAGATGTACAATCTAGTGATTCGACATTTATATACCTTACCATGTGATCACCATGATAAGTCTATTAATCATCTGTCACCGTGCAAAGTTATTACATTATTGACTGTTATATTCCCTGTGCTGTACATTACATCCCCGTGACTTATTTTTTTTAATAACTGGAAGTCTGTACCTTCTATTCCCCTTTACCTTTTTTACCCTTCCCCCTACCCCTCTGGCAACCTTCAGTTTGTTCTCTGTATCTATAAGTCTTTTTTGTTTGTTTTGTTTTTTGCCATCAATAAGAAATTTACTCATTAAAAAAATCCAGCCACTGGCATTATCCAGAAAAATTTAACAAGTTTTTTAAATAATCATCATAAAGTTGAAGGACTGAAACTTGTTCACTGAAACATTGATTTGCATTAATGCTTTATGTCTCTGAATTTATATTAAAAATTCACACACAAATGAAAATGGAAACACTGCCAGTACCTGATTTCTGTCTCCTATGTTTCCACTTTTAGTCTTATACTTAGGTACTTTTTGACTCTATGTAAAAAAAATACCTAACGTTCAGAACTACCAGTAACATGAGAAAATTTTTTCTTAAGCATGAAACGTTTCCCATCATAGTGGATTCTTAAGCGCGTTCTCCACATAGGCGGTGTGTTCGCTGGGTGTCTTTTGGCATAGTTGTTACACGTTTGGCATGAATCGGACACAGATTGGTGCCTTCAGAAAGGCCAGCCAGATAGGTCTCACTTGCCTCCTGCAAAGCACCGATAGCTGCAGCCTGGAAGGGCAGATCTATTTTGAAGTCCTGAGCATTTTTTGACACCAGATGCTGGAAGGGGAGTTTGCGAATCAAGTTCAGCGGATTTACGGAGAATGTCCAATTTCAGGGGGTGCCAAGGTACCAGGCCTGTAATGAGATTTCTTTATCTCTCCAGTAGAGCACGTACTCTTGCGAGTGGCTTTTGTAGCCAGTTGCTTCCCCATGATTTACCACTGGCGAATTTGCTGGCAGTCTGCTTTTTACATGCTGTGCTTACCTACCAGCGGCAGCTGTGAACAAAACTGAGGCAGTTTCTGTTTACTGTTTGTTTCGTTTTGTTACACATACAAGTAAAATCATATGATATTTGTCTTTCTGTCTGACTTATTTCACTTAGCATAATACCCTCTAGGTCCACCCATGTTGTTACAAATGACAAGATTTCCTTCTTTTCTTACTGCTGTGTAATATGTTATATGTATGTACCACACTGTCTTTATCCATTCATCTATAGATGGACACTTAAATTGCTTCCATTTTTGGCTTTTGTGAATAATGCTGCAATAAATGTATGATGAAAATTCTTAGCAAACTAGGATTTAAGGGAACTTCTAAATCTGATAACAGTTGGAGACTAAAAAGCTATGCAAATATCATACTCAGTGGCAAAATACAAGAAAAATGGATCTTTAAATGAGGAAAAGACAGTGATGCCTGCAATTATGTCTTCTTTTTAACGTTGTACTGGAAGTCCTAGTCATTGCAGTAAGACAAGAAAAATAAATATATACCATATTCATGCATGGATATGTTTAGTAGTGTAGAGATGTCAGTTTTTTTCCAAATTGATCTATAATGCATTAGAAATCCAATTAAGCATGTTTTCATGAATTTGACAAGCTAATTCTAAAATTTAAATGAAAGCATAAAAGGCTAAGAATAGTCAAGACTATCTTGAAGGAGAGCAAGTTGGGAGAACTTTCCTACCAGGTATCAGTACGTATTGTATAGTTAACATTGTTTAATTTCTTGGTACAAGGGTATTGGTGCAAGGGTAGACAGATACATGCTTTTTGCTTATTCTCTCTATTATTCTAGAATTCAAGTTAGGAATATTAGGCTTTCTCATTCTGTCAGGCTCTCCCTGTTACCATTTCTGTCTCTCTTTACTGCATTATGTTTAATTGTTTCAGCTCTGTCTTCCAGAATCTGGAATCCAGATCACTGGTTTTCTTCTTCAGCTGTGTTTAACCTCCTTTTGAACTCTTCTTACATTGAGTTTTTTTATTTCAGCAATTGGATTTCTTTTTTATTTCTAGAAATTCTCTTTGGTTCTTCTTTTCAAATATTCCTCAACATTTTTGAAAATCTCTTGCTTTTTATCAAGATTTTGATACATAAAGAGTGTCAAGTACACTAATCTTAGATGTATTATAGCTTGATACATTTTTGCATATCTACATGCCCCTGTAATCACTACTCAGATCAAAGTGTAGAACATTTTCATCACCCCAGAAGGTTCCCTTATGCCCCTTCTGAGTCATCTTTACATGGACTCTTGAGCTGTTTCCATAGTTTGGTGATCGTAAATAAAACTGTTACGAGCATTTGTTTACAAGTATGTTGATGGACATTTATACTTATTTCTCCGGCAATGGAGTTGCTGAGTCATGGAGTAGCATTTGTGTCACTTTAATATATCCTGCTGAGCAGTTTACCAGAGTAGATGAACCAATTTATAATCTCATTGGCAATGTATGAGAATTGCAGTTTTTCTTCTTTCTCATGGGGGACTGGTATTAATGTAATTTTAATTTGAATTTCCCTGATGAGTAGTGATGACTCATCCGCCTTTTCACGTGTTCGTTGGCCATTCGAATGCCTTTGTAAAGTGCCTGTTGAATTCTTTTGCCCATTTCTAAATTGGGTGGTTTTGACTTTTTCTTGTTTGTCGTCCTTTACGCATCTTGCATAAAAGTTCTTTGTTGGATATATGTGTTGTAAATTCTTTCACAAACATATTCTTCCTTTATCCTAAATGAAGTCTTCTGATGAAAAGAAATTCTTAATAAAGCCCAATTTATCTTTTTTGTTTATAGTTGTTACTTTTAATGTCCTGTCCAAGAAATCTTCGTAGTCTCATGTTTTAGCCATTTTTATTTCGTTAGCATATTAAACATACTTATTATGTATTTTGTATCTAATAATCCCAGTATCTGATGTCTTTCGAAGTCCTATTTCTATTGTTTATTGTTTCTCTTCACTCTTGGTCATGACGCCTTGTTTTCTCTTTCGTTTTGTAATTTTCAATGGTGGAAATCTGCCTGTGGGAATTCAATGAAGTCTGTGTTGCAGGTGCATTTCCCCAGGGAATGTTCGAAAGCTTTCTATTAAGGAAAAATTTAAACTTAAAAGGGGGAAATATTTTTTTTCCTTTTATGAATATTCTTATATGCTCATGGACTTTTATCGATGCATTGTATTGCAGTATGTCACATATTCTTTTCGATGCACAAATTGTCTCAACTTTGGCCAGAGGAAGTCCCTTCCATTTGGCTCCTGTGTCCTTTGCCACGTCCCCACTATTCTTTGAGCACTTCTTTACTCTGGAACAAGGTGTTCTAGGTTTATCTTTGTTTTTGTTTTTAATTGAGTACAATTTACATATAATACAGCAAATAGATCTTAAATATATTGTTAAAAGATTTTGGATAAGTGTATATATTTATATAACTCATGTCCCTAACAAAGATATAGACTATTTTAAACACCTTAGAAACTTCTGTCGTGCCCTTGTTCCCCATATGCTCCACCATCATATCTACCTAACCAGTGTTCTGATTTCTACCACCATACATTAGTTTTGTCTGTCCTAGAGTTTCATATAAACATGTCTTTTTTTCCTTTTAGTCCATGCTGTTACATACATCAGTAGTTCAGTCTTTTTTATTGCTGAGTAGGATTCTGTTGTTTGAATATACCACAATTTGTTTATCCATTTAACTGTTGGTCAATACTAGATTGTGCTGCGAACATTCTTGTACAGGTCATTTGTGGACAAATGTTATCATTTCTCTTGGGTAAATTCCAAGAAGTGGAATTTCTGGGTCATAGGCTAAGTGTATGTTTAACTTCATAAGAAACTGCTGAACTGTTTTCCAAAAGGCTTATACCAATTTCTACTCCTATTAGAGATATGAGAGAGTTGCATTATTCTATATATTCGCCAACAATTGGTATTTTGGTCTTTTTAATTTTAGCCATTCTAATGGGTGTGAAGTGGTATCTCGTTGTGGTTTTAATTTGTATTTTTCTAATGGCTAATGAGGTTGAGCACCTTGTTGTTTTCTTCTTGGCCATTTATATCTTCTTTTGTGAAATCTGTTCAAGAGTTTTGCCCAGTTTTTAATTGGGAGTTATTTGTTTTTATTATTTAGTTGTAGGAAAAAATATATTTTGAGTACTAGTTCTTTTCACATGTATGCTGTGAATATTTTTTCCTAGTGTGATTTTAAAAAATATTTTCAATGATATATTTTTTGATAAATTGTAAGTTTTGATGAAATCAAATTTGTCAAATTTTTGTTTTGTGATTATTTTCTGTGACTTAAAAATTTTTTTCCCCCTTTAAGTCATGAGGATAGTCTCCTATGTTTTCTTCTAGAAGCTTTAGATTTTTCATTTTGAGGTTGATAACCCATTTTATATTAATTTTTGTATATAGTATGAAGTAACAAATTGCATTTTATTATTTTTCCATGCGGATATCCAGTTGTTCCAGCACCATGGGCTAAGAAGACTTTGCTTTCCCGCTTGTGTGTTTGTTAAAATATTTATGGGTCTGTTTTTGAACTCTGTTTTGTTCCACTAATCTTTTCGTCTCTCCTCATCCCAATATTATACTGTCTTGACTATTGTAAGTCTTAAAATAGGAGGTAGTGTAAGTCTTCCCACTTTGTTGATCTTTTTCAAGATTATTCTGGCTATTCTATGTTCTTTGTGTTTTTATATAAATATTAAAATTGGCACATCAGTTTCCACACAGAAAAAAGTAAGTGCCGGACTCTTGATTGGATGACGTTGAAGGTATAGATCGGTCTGGGGAGAACTGATATCAGAACACTTGAAGCCATGAAGATGGCTGTCAGATTTTTCCGCGCTTGCAAGCGGACAGGTTAGCCGGCCACCATTTCACAGATACTGACTGAAGAAGACATGAGCCTCCTGGGCAGAGATTCACAGCACCACAAGCCGCACGAATGCCACATTTGCATCAGTTTGCCCTCCCTAGTTGCACGGATGACATGGCATGGACTAGGTGGATGCTGCACACACAGTGGGTGTGTGTCAGGGTTGAGAAACCCTGAGTTTAGGGAACTCCAGTATTTTATAATGGGCTGCCAGCAAAGCTATTTGACCCTTGTCCTAGAAGAACGCATCTTTATAATACTGGACAGCCAACAAACCCCGCCCTCTGCTTCAGAGGGAGAGGCTCTCTCTGTCTTCTAAACAGTTTGCTCCACAAACATCCTTGGAAAGATAATCTAGAATGAAAGCTGCCAGCCGTCTGTAAGATGCGCAGGAAAGTGAGAGACCCCGTGGAGAACTGTCTTCCAGCAGTAGTATATCGATTTATGTAGGTCTTTTAAAATTTATCTTAGCAGTGTTTGGTTTTGCAGAGTAAGGTCAGACACATCTTTCATTAAACTTATCTCTTAGTATTTATGTTTTTTTTTTAATACGATTGTAAGTGTAATTTTTTAAAAAGTTTATTTTCCAATCATTTGTTGCTAGAATAAAAATATATTTGGGTTTTATATAGTGACCATCTATTCTACAACCTTGATAAAGTCACTTCTTCTAGTATTTTTTTCATAGATTCCTTATGATTTTCTCCATAACACAGTCATGTCATCTGTGTTTAAAAATAGTCTTACTCTTTCCTTCCCAACCTTTTTTTCTTTTTCCATTTGTCGTCTTGCATCATCTAGGGCCAATGTTAAATCCTAAGGGGAAAAGCATGTACTATTTCACAATTACGTCTGGTGTCAGCTGTGGGATTTCATGGATGCCCTTCATCGAGTGGAGGAGGTGCCCTCTGGTTCCTAGTTAGGCGCTGTGTCTTTCTCCTGATTCTCATGGGAATGCTGTTGGGGCAGCTATTTTGACAAGGACGCCTCTTTCACATTGGGCTTCTTCTGTACCTGATGAGATTTGTACTTCTGATGTTCATGGAACAAGGGAAATTCATTCTGAAATTCTGCTTTCAGTTTCATTAAAGTGAATGTGATAAAAAAAAAAATTAGAACATCCATTTACACTCGACATAAGTTCTTTGTATATTTGCTTTTACAATAGTTCTGTTGACAACATGTTCTGTTTAATTAAAAAATATATTAATTGGTATAAGGATAATAATAACATTAAAGGGAAATTTAAAAATTTGTCCGCAATCCACGTCTCATCTGTTGGAGGAGGGTGCTGAGAAATGGCAGCAGGGAGCCCAACCCGGGTTCCCCGTGGCCCAAGGACCCCCCTGTCCAACCTCGTCCTTGCAGGGAGACGACTTCGTGGAAAGGCGTTCTACAATGTGGGCGAGAAAGTGTACTGCCAGGAGGACTTCCTGGTGAGTCAAAGCTGTGCCCTGGCTGTGCCACGGGTAGGAGCAGGGGTGGGACCCTCCTTTCGATTCACATGGAAACCTGAGGCCAGGAGGCAGGTGCTGGCTGGGCAGTAAGTGCCCCTGTTGTCACATAACATCCTGGATCCTGTGTCCCCTCCCAGTACTCCGGGTTCCAGCAAACGGCTGACAAGTGTAGCGTGTGTGGACACCTCATCATGGAGATGGTGAGAACCTCCCCCAGCCTCCCGGAACCCCTCTGACATGGGCAGACTTAGGACCCCACCCTTTTCACCTGTTGCAGACCTGCCAGGGGCTCAGAGCCAGAGCCTATTCCGGGGGCTGTGCTGAGCCTTCCACCTGCACTGACCCTTCAGTGCCTCCCACCCCCAGATCCTCCAGGCCCTCGGGAAGTCCTACCACCCAGGCTGCTTCCGGTGCTCTGTGTGCAATGAGTGCCTTGACGGGGTGCCCTTCACTGTGGACGTGGACAGCAACATCTACTGTGTCAGAGACTATCACACGTGAGTAGCCGGTGTGTGGAGCGGGTGTGACTCTCGCTGTTTTTTTCTGCCTCCCTTGGAAGCATTTTTCTGGCCTGCCTGTCCGTGTCCTCCCTTCTTGGCCTTTTCACTTCCAGCCTCCCCTTGTGTGCTCAGTGGTTGGGTCAGGGCACGGATCCCTGCCTTGAGCCCTCTCTGTTGGATGGTTTAGCCACCAGCCATTTCTTTGCTTTCCCTGCCTTTGCCTGCTGCTCCCCTCCTCCTAGTGGTGGGGACTCTCCTGGCTGCCCCACCTAGCATCTATACCTCTGTTCCCAGGGCCAGGCCAGGCCTCTTCTGCATGGGACGGGGGCTTGGGATCTCTGCAGAGTCTTTTTCCTGCCTGTCCAGTACTCATGCGAGCAGCCAATTTATTCTCTCTTGCTGTGACTCCAGGCTCAGCCCTCGGAGCTCTGGTCCTGTGCTGCTGCTTTGCATGGGGTTGCTGCCTGATATAGATTCCTGGTACCCAGCATGAAGCCAGGCTTTGCAGGTGTCTCAGCTAGAGGGTGCCCCAAACTTTGATGTTAGGGGGCAGGGAACATGCAGGAGGCACAAGGGAGAGGGCAGGGCAGAACTCAAAGCCGTCCTGGAGGAGGCGATGGAGTGCAGGTGAATTGAGGGGACAAATAAAAGGTGTGGCAGAAACTGCTCCCACCTCAACATGTCCATGCAAGGAAAGAGGGCCCGATGCTCAGGCCACGTCATGGGGCTACTGTGGGTGCCCTGCCCTTGTGCCTTTGGCTTCTGATCACTTCGTTGGTCACTTCTGGTTTTCTTTATTCTGCAGGGTTTTTGCACCAAAATGTGCCTCCTGTGCCCGTCCTATCCTCCCTGCACAGGTAGGAACCACTTACCTAGGGATGAGCAGGTGCTTGGCCCAGCCCAGCCTCTGTGCAGTCCTGCCTGGGTCAACCTCAGCTCTCGGGCCCCTGTGAGAGGGACGAGCAGATGCTCCTGCCCCATTTCCCTCAAGGCTGTGGGATGTGTGTGGTGCCCATGCTGTGGGGTGTGGTGTCCCTGCATGAATTAGAGGGAAACGGTGGCCCTTGCTGCTTGGCTGCCCCACTGCTGCCCTTGGTTCCATTGCTCATTAATGGAAGGACTGCTCCCTGGGTCTGTTAGCTCTGCAGACAGAGGTGGTGGGGAGCGGAGGAGACGAGGGCGTGGTCTGTGCAGGAGATATCCTTGGGTGGGGCAGCTCTCTCAGGCACTGGGTCTTCTACTGTTCTGTCCCAGGCTGGGGAAGCAAGACAGGCTCTGGTCTTTCCTGACTCCAGAGAACTGAAAAGAACATGTACCTGTAGATTGACACCTGTGTGGTGGCTCTCGTGGACATGTGTGCATGCTGTTGGCTATGGTCATGGGAGGATGCCTAAGGCACACTCACATCCATTCATGTACATCTACTGGTGCCCATTCTGGCCCCACGGAATCCCCGATGTCGATGCTTACATGGGCGTGAATGCATGTCTGCCGTGACAAGAGCACAAGGTGTAGGTGTGTGCCCCCACACTCAGACCCGCAGCTTGCTTATGGTTTGTAAACCCCATCTCTTCCTCCAGGGCTGTGAGACAACCATCCGTGTGGTGTCCATGGACAGAGACTACCACGTGGAATGTTATCACTGTGAGGTGAGCCTGGCACTCCTGGAAGGCTGGAGGCTGGGGCGGTCCCCCTCCACTGGGGCTCCTCTCTAGGTGTTCTGTGAGCCCATCTCTTATGGTTCCTTCCCACTCTACCTGTCATCCCCCAGTGAGCCCTCTCCTCAAGACATGTTCTCTCTCAGCCCGTTTTTCATTCAAATATTTATTGAGTTACAGTGTGTGGAGTGCTGTGTATGTATGTAGAAGAAAGATGGTCCTTACTCCCATGGGAGTGACCAGTACTCGGGCAGTATCTACACAGGGTCATCATTGCTATCAAGGAGAGTTTTCAGAGCACAAAGGAGACCTTGGAAAATCAAGGAAGGCATTCTGGAAGAGGTGACATTCAAGCTAAGATTTGAAAGATGAATAAGAGTTAGCAAAGGAGGCAGTAAGAAGGGCATTTCCAGGCAGTCACACAGAATGTGCTTAGTGTGTTGTTTTGTGCCACTGGAGAAGTTGGTAGGAGCTGGGGACAAAAGGCCACGTGAGCTAAAGAGTGTGGGCTTATCCTAGGGCAGTGGAGAATGATCAAAACGGATGACATGATGGCATTTGGATTTTAGAAAGGACACTTAGCTATGCAGAGAATGAATGGAAGAAGAGAGACGGGGCTGGGGTTCCCTGAGGAGGCTGGTGGAGTCAGGGTTATGGTACTAGTTCAGGGAGGTAGATTGAGTTTAGTGATAATTAGGCAGTAAGAGGGACTGGATTTGGTCAGTGACTGGATGTGGGGGTTTGGGGTTTGGGAGGTGTGGGCGAGAGGAGGAGGGTATAAAATGCTCTCGGTTTTGGTAGCTGGAGACACCCGAATGGAGATGTCCGGGTGGCAGCTGGGAGTTCAGAGACTCTGGCAGCAGGTGGGGGATTTGGGAGTCATTAGCATGTATAGCGCCCTCCTCTCTGATACTCCGCCCTGTGGTTTCTGGTTGCCTTGGCCTCCCCGAATGCTCAATTCATGGAGGCTGCTGGGCCCTCTTTGGCAGCCTGGAAAATCTCTCCAGGTAGTAACCTGTGGCCATTGTATGGCTCATCTCATTAGTTTCTCTTCTCTGAGAGATCACCGACCTGCCTTGCCTGTTGTCCAGGGTCTGAGAAGCCACTGTTTCATATAATTGGCCTGGGTCTTTGTTGTTAAAGGTGGCATGAGAAGTCCAGTCTTTGTTGTTGTCACGGCCGGAAGTGAGAGTTGCATCCTAGGCACGTAGATGGCCACTGAAGCCAGGGGAGTAACTGGGGTCTTCCAGGAAGAGCTGTTGGGGAAGGAGAAGGGGCTCAGGGTGACCCAAGGAGCACCAGCATTTGGGGGATGAATGAAGGCAAAGCAGCCATAAGGTGGGACTGAGAATGAGTGAATGGGGAGGTAGAAGCAAAACGAAGAAGAAGAGTGTTGAGTTTCAGAGCCCCAGGGAAGAGCAGGAGGGGGTGTCAGTGAGAAATCTTTAGTCATCAAGGGTCCATCTGGTACCAGGTTGCCCTGTTGGGGGCAAGTGGCCCAGCGGGAACAAGAATCCTGCTGGGGGAACAGAGGAGGATCGTGGCCTGCCGAGGGGCCGTGGTTTCCCCTCCAACAGTAACAGGGCATCCTGTTCTTTTGTCCTAGACACTGTGGTGTCCCCTTGGGACCACTAAGCACAGTTCCTAGGTTAAGGATGACCTTAACCTAGACCTGAGTCAAGGAGCAAATCAAGCTGTGGGTGGTTCGCAGCCAGAGCCTGTGAGATGAGGTACTGCTGTCCCCAGGGAAGACCCTGGGACAGGAACTAAGGTCTCTAGGCTCCCTCTCTGGCGTGTGGCAGTTAGTAGCAGGGCCCAGTCGGGGGGCTGTGGCAGAACAGGGAGGACACCTGGGATGTGAGGTTCCGTGAGGTTCCATGGAAGCAGCCCAGCTCCATTACTTGTGTGGGGTTTTCTGTAACAAAGGTCAGAGACCGAGGCAGGAGTCAAAGCTCCAGCCCTGGATGCAGTGACTGTGTCCAAAGGGGCCTCTGTGGGGTGGGCGGCAAAAGGAAGGAAAAAGTCATCCAGTTGGTCTCTCCCAGTGCCCTTCACACTTCCGGCCAGTGCCTTACAGAGGTCAGATACCAATCACGTAACTTGTTAAACAGAAAAATTAGCCTGTAAAATATACCGCAATGGTAAAAGGGTAAGAGGAGGGACAGAAAACAAAACTCCTTGTTTACTTGGTGTGCCCGGTTCTTCTCTTCCATTATCTCTTAAGGCTACTGGGGTCTGTCATTTGATCAGTCCCCCTTCCCAAGGTCACCAGTGACCCCCACATGGCAGGATCCAGGAGACACTTCTCTCAGCAGCGTTCTACACGCTGACCCCCCCCCCCATTCTTGACTGGTCACTGTGGCCTTAGGCCCACTCATTTTTACTTTTCTTCACTTTATTTTCCCCTCAAACCTCCTTGGCTCAGCGGTCTCTCTTCTTTCTGTCTTAAAGCCTCGGCGGCTCAGCCTTTGGGTTCTTCTCTAGCTCTCTGCACTCCGCGGGAGGTGTGATCTATTGTTAAGGCCATCCCGTTTGTCTGCTGACATCCCCATCTACTGCCCAGCCCTCTCTCTCAGGCTCCAGGCTTGTATCCAGCTACCCAGCCACCTCCCTGGTCCCTCCTCTAAGCGGAATGTCCAGTTCAGTGTGTCCCACACGAGGCTCCTGACCCCTCCCCCACCCCCCAAAGAGTAAAAGCCTGAGTCCTGAAGCTGTGCAGAGCCCCACCGACCTGCCCCCACCCTGTGGCCAGCACCGACGCCCTTCCCCACTCACTCGGAGTTGGGGCTGTGTTCTTCCCTAGGACTGCGGGCTGCAGCTGAGCGGGGAGGATGGACGCCGCTGCTACCCGCTGGAGGGCCACCTGCTGTGCCGCCGCTGCCACCTGCGTCGCCTCCGGCCAGGCCCACTTCCCTCACCTGCCGTGCACGTCACCGAGCTCTGAGCAGGGCCTGAGCCTGACGCTGGGGCTGCGTGCGTGCGTGCGTGTGCGTGCGTGTGTGCGTGTGCGCGCGCGCGTGTGTGTGTGTGTGTGTGTGTGTGGTGCGCGTGCGCGCAGCATAGGTGACCTAGTCAGGATCGGAGCTTCGAGTCAGGGTGGCAGGGCTGCCGTGCTCTACGCCCACCATCCCAGCCCCACCACTTGCCACCGAGCTGCTGTCCGAGGGGCCGGCCCCGCGGCGAAGCTACTTCTATTTATTCACCGTCTGTTCCTCCTCCAGCCTCTTTCTTCCTGCCCGCCTCCAACCTGCCGTCACAGCCTTGTGTTCCAGAACCACCGCGCCCCTGGGGGGCAGGTCCCAGGTCGCCGCGGGACTCGGGGCCGAAGATGCCACACGGCGTGCAGGGGGCACGGGGTACACTGACTGGCCTCGAGTGGAGTCAGTTTTCCGTTAAGAAGGGGCAGGGGACCCCATCCCACAACGCTCGGGGCATGCGTGGGCTGGCAGATGACAGTGGGCGGAGGGCGCGCGTTTTTGTGGGTCATAAACGCCTTGTCTGCTGATGGGTGGGAGGGGGTGACTTGTTTGGGTGGGGTCACAGGAAGGGGTGAGGAATGGCACCCTTGAGGAGAGGGGTCTGCAGAGGAACCCTGCCTTTGACCATTGTCACTGCAGGATTTGGTCATCTGGATTCCAATGGGCGTTTTCAGCCACAATTCCAGCTGAGTCTCCCCATCCTAGCTCCTGGCTTGGGATCTGCTCGCTCCCCCACCCCGCCCCCCTCCTTCAGCCTCGGGAAAAGAACCGTCTTGGAATTCCAGCCACAGCTCTGTCAAGAGACGGTGAAGGGGCGCCCTGCTGGCTTGGCAGGGAGAACACCTGTTGGGGGAAAAGCACTGTGTATCAGACTCCACAACAAACGCATATGATTTGACTTAAATTAAGTTTTTCTTTGGAGAATATTTTCATTTTCTTTAAAAGAATATAGTTTTCTTCTCAAAACTCGGCCCACAGTTATTTCTTAGGAAAATTATAAGAAACACAGATGTCAATTTTTATGTCATATTTTCAGGTGGTAAAAGCATTGTAGTTTAACTATTTTTGTATAAATGCCTCTAAAATCTCAAAATATGTGTCTACTTTTCAGACTTTAGTGTGGGGTTCTCTTTTCGTCAGTGTCTTAAGAGTGGTGACCTAATGAAACGGTTTGCGGAATTGTGGAGTAATTTTTTTTCTATGAAAGACATTTTAGCATTGGGAAGAGTGGACCTCTCACTGATGGCTTAAGTTGGAGTAGCCCTTGTGGGTGGCCGCTGCAGCAAGAGACCCCTAATTCCGATAAACTATCACAGTGCTTTTCATGGAATATTTTGACTTCAGTCCATTTGTTCCTTTAAGAACCTGAACCACCTTCTCTTAGCTACTGCTCTCCCCGTCCTTCCCCTACTATTAGATGTGGGGTCTCTGCTTGTAGGACCATCATCTGGGGGAGCCAGGTGATAGGAACCAGAATATGCCTACTGGGACGCTTACAGGGGAAGTGACTGCCAGTGGGGGCGTCTCAGGGCTGAGGCGTGGAGCTGGGAGGCCCTCTGGTGGGCGGAAGAAGCAAGTACGCCAGGGAGTTTGGTGATTTTTACCAGAGTGTTGTAACGCAGAGGTTGTCCTGAGATGGGGTATGTGTATCTCTGGAGAAGGGGATTTCAACGGGATCAGGGTGGCTTCTTGGAGGAGGTGATCCCAGTGAGGCAGGTGAGAGTAAATTCCAGGAAATGGAGCCTGTTTCTGGTTTTCTCTTTCCCGCAGATTGGGCCCTTCCTTTTCCCTTCGTGTCTGCTGTGGAGGAAGCCCTGATCTTCCAGCTGTGGACATCACCGCTGGTCTCCCTCCACGCCTGCTCTGTCCTGGTTTCCATGCTTTTCCACCCAGCTGGATTGAGTCATCACAGCATGAACCCCACCCCCCTCCTTTAAGTTCTTGAGCCATACTTTGTCAAAAGTCAGAGGTGAAGGAATGCATGACCCTGGGGAGCAGTGGCCTCATCTCTGGACACCGCTCTGCCCTTTCTCTCGGCCTTCTGTCAGGACTGGTGACTGCCACAGCCCCTCCTACCGCAGAGCCTCTGGACATGCAGTGCTCTCTGCCGGGTCCGCTCCCTGCCCAACACTAATTAGGGGTCAGATCCTTCAGATCTCAGCTACACAAACAAGCCGGGCGCCCAGTTACACGTCACCAAACACCCAGAATTTGGGGCCCCAGATCTCCAAGCTTTCTCTGAAAGTGGCATCTTCGAGTCCATTTTCAAGAGTTTATGCCAACCTGTTGTTTGTTGAGACTGAGGAAGCAGTGTGAGGACCAGATTCCGAGCCAGGTAGATTGCCCACGACCCCCCAACCCTGGATGCCAAACCCGCTTACCCCTAGGATATCATCCCTGATGTCAGTACGTGGTGACACCTCTAACTGTGCTTTTAATCACTGCTGTGCTTTCATGTGTCAAGAGAATAAGGTACTTATTTTCTTGATGTCTTACCCCCTCACTAGGTGTTGTGCTTTCCAGGCCAGGGCCTATCTGTCTCCACAGTGCCTGGCACATAGTTGGTACCATAGCCTGAGCCAGACCCTGCCCTGGCTTTAGGGTCTAGACTTAGAACCCTCTCCCTCATCGGTTTGCAAGTCCAAGTGCCGCCTCAGTTGCCAGTGAAGGAGCCAAGGGTGGGATATAAAGACCCCAAAACAGAACTTTACATGAGGACTATACACACTGCCCATCAAGTGTGTGTGTGTGTGCCCCAGGTGGCATACACACAGGTGTGCTTTTGTGCCAGACCCTGGGGTTAGTGCTGGGTCCACTGCGAGTGTGTGTGTGTGTGATGTTGGGCTGGGATGGCAGGCTTTTGGAGGGTCCTGGGAGTGGGTCTTAAGCCTGGGGTGCCATCATGGTCCTAGGGCAGGAGGGGATGGTGCTGACCCTTCCTGATCAGTGCTTCCCTGAGGCTGGTCTCTAGCTCTGTGCACCTCTAGTTATCGAATGCTCCCTGGGAGGGATGAGGGCCGCAGGGGTAGGGCTAGGCTTAGCCTGTGGGGGCTCTAGGAGGGGCCTGGGCTGGGATATGAGGGTGGGGCGGGGAGGGGGGTCA